CTGCCCAGCATGGCAGTTTTTTCTGGTCTTTACAAGGCATTAGTGTTTACTAGCGCCTCCTAGGGATGGGGTCCTTAGAATCTATATAGTACTCTATCAGTACAGGCCTTTTACCATTCTAAAGAAATTAACATAAATCAACTGTCCATTTCTGCATAAAGGTCAAAACATTTTGGCGTCAGGTTATTTAAGAGGACATTTAAAAGCAACATGGCATCTAAGTTTTTGTCTGAAAGAGCAAATCATAAATACTTTTTATAAGAGCAGTAGATAATTCACTCTAGTCTAGACAGATGTCTCTTTAACGTGCAATCCAAAATTGACCTCCTCTCCTCCTCATTATCTTTGGCTAGTTGTGGAGAGGATCGACTCCTGTGCCTCCATGTACAGCAGGTCCATCCAGGGTCACCACGTCTGTCTGCTGGTCAAAACTGTGAGTGGAATATTTCCTTCTTTGCAAGGTCTTTATTACTGTGATACACCTGTATTTAAAACATGTACACATAAGAAACATGAGGTGGTTAAAAATAGACAAATGAAGTTGACTTTTACATCCAAAACCTTGAGGTTTTTTTTTTCTAAAACACATCCATATTATTTTTGTTGTAAATGAAACACTGCTACTTTCTGATCTTGTTATTGAATCAATAAATGTGAATTTGTTTCTGGTTCTTTCCCAGGCCGGTCAGACTGTGTCCATTGATGCAAAATGTGACGAGCCGACTCTTCTTGGGAATGTTCTGGATGAGATCAAGCAGACCTTCTCTCAGTGCTGATTGTTTCTGACGGCCCCAGGGTGCCCCGACCCCTTCATGCCACCCACTCCATCATTAAAGCGACACAATCACATTATGAAACACTGCGGCTGGGACCTCCAGCTTCACCCTATTTATTAGTTGTCCAGGTTTCAAGATTACCGTTTCCTTGCCTCGGCTCCGGGGCCCTCACTTTAATTTTTCCTCTGCACTCTCATGCTTTCTGTTGTTTTGCAGACTTTTTTCATGCTTTGTCTTCTCTGTGGTGCACTTTGACTTGTACCTTGGTTTTCCAGCTTCTCCTTGCTTTGGATTGCCTCACATCCTCTGCTGTCCCCGGCCGGCCTTACCCTCCGCCCTCCCACTCTGCTGGCAGTTCACTCTGACAGTCATGTGACGTAACAACTGGATGTTTGCTGTTGATGGTTGAAATGTATTTTCACTGTTTGAGGTTTTATGTTTTCGTCTGTAGTTGTTTTTTGTTTTGATGTATGAGTTTCGTCTTTCCTCCTTTGAAGCCTGTCTGCGCCTTTCTCAACACACCGTTTTCCGCTTACTGAACATCAGTGCAGCTCTGCTCATTTGGCCTGGGACACCAATGGGACCGACTCCTTCTCCACCAAGGTCCCTAGCTAGAGGAAATGTAGTATCCTAGCTTGGTTCCTCAGCTGTTGTGTAAAGATGAAACATTTGGGCAGCTGCATTGATGATGGAGCAGAGATGAAACCAAAGCTAGATACACTAAAAGGCGGGGGTTTCGGGGTTGAATAAAAGCTTTTTTCCCCTCATTTTTTTCTTGGCAGTGCTCCGAACAGATGTGGGATTTTAACAAGTACGACTTAATGGTTTAGTTTTTTTTTTATTATTTTGTTCTGTGCCTTTTCTCCTACATTCTACTCAAGCTCTTTAGGACAATTTGCATATCATTCCTTCCATAAATAAAACTGAGTAAATAGTTTATACATAACTATATATATCTATATATATATATATATATAGATATATATATAGTACAGCTGTCCAACATGAAGGAGTATTATTTGCTAGCAGATGCTGTTTAGGCCTCATGTACTCCAGTATTACTGTAACTCCAGAGAGGAAGTATTTCCTCTTGTACCACTTGAAGGTTTGCATCACGGTTGATCCTCCTGTCAGTCGGTACCCAGGTGACATTCCTGATGTTTCCCTGCCCTTTGGAAAATCACCATGCCTCTTCTCATGCATTATCGTTCTTCAGAAGCATGATTGTTTAGTTTTTTTTTAATCTTTGAAGAGATTTGTCACCTTAGAAATCTCCCTTTAGTTTGATTCTGTTTAGAAAGATGAAATTATGTTCACATTTACTGTTACGGCCCCTCCTCTGCATCCGTTTGCAGTTGTAGATACTCTTGAGTGTTTTTGTGACCTACTGGTCAGGTCAGCCATTCCATGATATTCAGTCTGAATACAGAGGTGATCCTTTTTTCATGAATGTCAAAAGAAAATCATGTATTGGTCCTGAAAACAACCTGTTATTCCAAAAAAAAAAACAATTATCTCATTCTTCATTCGAAACATGTGCATAATAGATTAAAATCTGTATATTGCATGATCAGGAATGTATTTTTTTTTTTTTTTTCTTTCACAGGACATGCTCACACCAAGAGTAAAGTCATTCCATGTGTTCCTTTTTTTATCCCCTAAATATTTTTGTTTACATGATCATTCTGTATTTTTGATGGCATTGTGTTTTTACTGGTTCGGACATATCACTGAATGTTTTAAATTATTAAACATGGGGGAAGGAAGGGTTTTGGTGTCATCACACCAAGGGTGCGGGGCTCAGAAAAATGGGCAGATCACCTAAGCAGCATACTGAGAAACAAACAACCCACCGTCTCGCTTTTCTTCAGTTCATTGTGAGCCGTTTTACATTTGGCTTGTGACATTGAAATATAGTCTAAAATTAAGGATTTTAAACAGTTATTTATAACTTTTTTTCCTTCTCCATATTCTGCTATCAAGCTTACATTGTAAATTGTCATAAAGTCAAGGGGACGACATAAAATATATACTCTCCCTTTAAAGAAAGTCCACCAACATAGAAATAAATTGTGGGAGTAGATTCTGTAGACTTTTTTTTTTCTCTCCTTTTTTTTTGTGTTACAAAAAATAAATCAATAAAACTCATATACCAAAGCTTTTTGTGTGTATGATAGGCTTCCGCAGTCTGCTAGTTGGTGATGAGTGAAATTACCTGCCTGTCTGTAACTCTGTATTTTGAAAGAGAACTGGGGCTTATTTACTTATGGTTACTAAAATATTAGCTTTCATCATTAGTAAACCACCCCTGAGGTTCTGCATTGCCCTATGCTCAGCTGGAAACTGAGATTTTCCAAACATTGAACTGGGGTTGATTAATTTTTTGGTTCTTTAATCTCCAATAATTTTTTGGTTCTTTAATCTCCAATAAATGTGATATATTAAGGAAATGTTCCATAATGACACTCGGAAAGGTTGTTTACCAACTTTTACATTATGTACTAATTTTCTTTTACTTTGGTGTTTAGAAAAATTAATGTTAAAGTTATGTTCAGATCAATCTGTTCTCGAGAAACATACTGGCATCCTTACAGATGGGCTTTTTTTTGCCACTAAATGATTTGGATCCATAGGTGACAATGGGAATCGCATAGTTCTTGTGTTGCCCTTTCGTCCTGGCCGCCTGAACTGTTCTCCTGTATTTAGAGTCGGAATCAGGCAGAGGACATTCCACAATCCCCTGTATTGTTTTGACAATCAAGGCCAATTTCTCCTTTTCCTGTGTAGCATCATTACCTCACTGTTATGTGTAGACCCAGGATGCTCTTTGTTGTGTTTCTGTATAAATGCACAAGTACTGTGAAGGACTGCTGACTCATCAGTTCCTTTGAGAAAGAAGAATCTCTTCTGACCCCCAGGGCAAAGGTGACCTGGGTTTAAGATGTGAGGACCCAGGAAACTGTTCTCATTATGCTCCACTGTCTGTAACAGAAGTGGGGTGTGATATGTCCTGAACAGGACCTCCTAAAATCCACATTTTTGCCAGAGTTTAAGGTAAAGCAATTGTTTAAACATAACTTGGTCAGGTGGTAAATCTCTCTGGAGTGAATTTTATCACTGGGATCATCTAACTTCATACCAGGGTTTGTTGAGTTCACATCAGCATTTGAGGAGTGGACTGAACACTCAGCCCTGGGGTGTCCCATTGTTAAGGGCCAGTGTATAATATGCAGTCACAATGAGATTGGAGCTTGTTGTTGCTTCAGTACCTGATCAAATTTCCTTTATTAATGATACCATGAATTCTACTTCCTGAGTGATGTGTTGCAAAGACTTCCCAATGCATGGTAGCCCTCCTACAGGGTTAAAAGAATAGCATGAGCATCTAGACAGGGACTTATAAATGACAAATTATTTTGTAAGTGAAGCTGTTACACTTTTAGCTGAAACTGTGTGTAACTATGTTATTGAACCATTGTATTGGTTTTTATCTATTTAATTATCTATTTTTATTAATTTATTTTTTTGCTCTAAGCCCACATGACAAAACTAATGTAAATGGTATCTAGAAACACCACTGACTATTAGGTTTATGGAATATTGTCTTTAGATCTAAATTTATTTCCCAATGACTTCCTCTTTTAGGTATTTGTCAGAATATGAAAATATAGTTTGGATGCACTGAGGTTATCTTTGTGAACTCTTAACCCTTTATAGGGCAAATAATTCAAATTTTAAGCTTGTTATTGGAATCCAGGATAAGACCTTATCACCTTTGTAACATAAAAAAAAAAATGTATATTTTGAAGGCAATAATGAATATCAATGTAATAACAAGAAACGCCAACTCGCCCCAATATATTAAAAAAATAACAAAAGTGCTTCTTTAAGAAATTAATGAAAATGTACTTAATTTACAGTAGGAAATATATCATTCAAGGGCTCATCTAATTAGTCAAATGCTAAAATAAGTTGTACAGCCATGTAGCGGTATCTTTGCTGAATGGCTGGATATAGATATTGTGCTTCTAGACTTATGCAATTGATCAAAAATAGTAACTTGCCCTATGAAGGGTTAAAAAAACGCCTAAATATTTACCATGGAAAGTTTATGCTTTTATTTTGAAAGCCTGCAGCCGGAAATGGGGTAAACCTAGCGGCTAACTTGATCAGAGCTGCTTTATTCTGAATGTACTGAGCTCCCGGGGATCCTTCACACCAAGAGAGGAAGAAGACGCACCAGCTGCGACCAAAAAAAAAAAAAAAAAAGCCCAGCCGTTGTGGTTTTTATACTCCGTTTTCTTTTTCTTCTCTTTTCCCCCTCCGAAGACACGCTGACGGAAACCAGCGTTCACAAACTCGTTGGTTCTTTGTTGTTAGCTGTTGTTCGCACCGACCTAGCTTTGTCCTTCGCATACACAGTTGGCTGTGGGTTGCTGAAATCTATTAATATTGTTCGTTGTGGAATATGGCTCAGCATGTGCACCATGTAGCCAGTTCACAAAAAGCACTAATGCTGGAGATGAAGAGCCTCCAAGATGAGCCGGTGGAGGGATTCAAGATAACTTTAGTGGACGAGTCGGACATGTATAACTGGGAAGTGGCGATATTCGGACCCCCAAACACTCACTACCAGGGTGGTTATTTTAAGGTGAGTGGCTAACGTTAGCTAGCTCCACATCTATTGTTCTACCGCGGATTTTATTTCTCCTACTTTTCCCACACAAAGGGCAGGACTCCAGTTAGCTTAGCCTTTCTATGGACCAACAGCAGGTTAAAGTTATTACCTACATTGTTTAACTAATTGTTGTTTCCTGTTTAATCGTTGCTGTGATACAACATAGCTCTTTGTTCAACTTTAAACCAACTCTCCTCAATCAGAATTTATCCACCTTTAATGTTGAGATTTTCTTTTAAAATAAAGTAGCTTATTAATGGGTTGTTTTTCTTTGAAAATTCCCATTTATTGTCTCCTTACAGTCGCAGTCTAGATATGATTGATACATCTATATTGGAACAAAGGCTGCGGTGTGAATGGGACCTTCTTTAGTTGGCTAACTAATTCAATCATCTCCTTTGTGCTCATCATTACAGCCCAGATATGTTTCCTTTTGAAATGTAGCCTTTTCTAACAGTTTGACTGGTGTTATTTATTTTATTTTTTTTAATAATCAGGCCAGAAAACACAATTCCTTTCAGATCAATGTAAATTTCACTGTGGAAACATTGTTCCTGTTCTACTAAACTGCTCTAACCAAACACAATCACATTTATTTTCAAATTAAAATACAAAAATTATAGATAAAAGGGTTTTATTCTCATAGTCGGGGTTTGGAAAATGCCAAAAATATACATAAACCAAAAAAGCATTTATTATAAATATATTATTTTAAACTCAATGTCGATATATTTACTTAACTATACCGTATTTATTTAACTAAACAAGTTGTAATAGCTTTATTTTTACTTGTATTGTGACTTTGGAATGATAATTTATTTAGGATTAAACCTAAGACTGTCACAATATTTCAGCAAATGTACACTGTTATAAAGAATTTCCTTTGGTTTTATTTGATCCAGGCAAAATTCAATTATTCTTAAATGCCACCAGTGTTTTGGTTTCACTCCTAATCTAAGCCTGTATCCTTTCAAGTCCATTTCCATTGTTTTCAGCTGCAATCAGACCTAATCATACTTGTGTGTCTTCCTATAATCTGAGTTATCTTGCTCCTCTGCTGTCTGTTTTCTGTGTACTAAACAAACTAGATAAACTTGTCACCTTCCTAACTGATTCAATCATTTCTTTGTCTTTTGTTTTAACTTGTCAGCCTTTAGAAAGGTTGGCCGCCTATTTTCTTATTCAGATTCGCTCCTTGATGACCCATATAGTAGGCATCTATGGTCTGGTTTCGGGTTTCCCCTTTAATATGTCGCTAATCTTTTTTGTTTTTCTAACATGCTTCCTCCCCTGGGAGTAAATGTGTTTGACAGATGTTCTTTGTCTGTACAGATTATTTCAGACAACCATAGATCACCTTATCGAATCTCTTGGATGAAAAATATTCTCCTGAATATTTAAATCTTTAAAAATTACATTCTCTTTATGCTGTTTTTTTTTACCAGGTAATTAAGCTCATTTTAGATCCTACCCACAGCTACATACCTACAGTAGATGATGTTGCCATAGCAAAAAGCTTTCTGTCGTTTTATCTCAAACTTAATAAAACTTAAGGTTCTTTAAAATGCTCTGATTAAAATGCATTCTGTGCGAAAGGGGTTCTAGATCGCCGGGATCTGTTAATTCCGTCTAAAACTTGGAATTAATGCCAGATAAAACAAAAAGGTAGTTAAGTTATTGAACCTGTAGAGGGTATAACCTTCAACTATTGCTGTAATGTATACATTTGCACTGTTTTTAACAAGTTTAATAGATCTGTTTTTGCAAAACAACCCTTTAGCTGTTTTGAAATTGAGTAATTCCAGTGCTTGAGAAGCACTCTGGTCGTTTTTTGGGTTTTTTTTTTTTTATCAAGCCTGTGAACACAAGCAAAGGGCCCCAGCGCCTCTGGGGATGGTGTTTTAGTTTGTTGGTGTGGGTGCTACAGGATTCCTTTGTCGGGACAGGAATGCACATCCCGGCTGTGAAATACGCCTCATGGTTATGACTCATTGTTCTTTTCTGGGTTTCCATCCAACCAGTTTGCTCGACTCAAACAGTTTTGTCCAGTTACGTTGCTGAACAGAAACGGAGCCAATCCTAATGAAACCTGGCTGAGTCAGGGTTTGTTGTTTTTCTCTCCATTTTTTTTTTTTTGCTTTCAGTCACATTGTAGCTCCAGGCCACACAGTGCATTATAAATATATCATCCAATCCTGATTAGGGGACTGGGGCATTAAGACTTTAAACTGGCTATTGATCTGGAGGTTTCATGTGCTCCCCTAAACATTCCTGTTCAACCGACACGTCTCAGGTATCCGCTTGCCTTCTGCATTGTACCATGAGGTATCCCCAATCCCTCAGCCTAATGTGAGTGTCTGATTACACACAGAGGCTGGCAATGATCTTGGATGAATATTTAAGGTACACTGGCCGATTTGGCTGCTCTTGTTGGACAAGCATGTTTCTCTAGGTGGTCACTGATACACTTTATCTCTAAAAGCAGCCAATCGTTCTGATTAGATCAACCAGCTTTTGGTGTAAAAATCAAAATACAATGGGCTCTTTTTAAGGCTGGTTCACACTGTCGGGTGATTTTTTTCTTTTTTTTTTTACTTAAGAGATCCTAATGATGATTGTATAAAATCAGACATAGGCCAGGTTTGGTTGTACAGTGTGTTATCTTCAACCATGCCACAAGTGCAGTACATCCCACAGAGGCTGATTCAGTTGCTGTCAACGCAGATCTGACAAAGTCTCTGCGTCCCAATAGATTTATTTGCTGTGAACAGTGCGGAAAAAGTAGTTGTAAGTTGCTTTTAAGCGAGAAAGTCCACTTCAACACATGATCCATACAGTCTGTTTACCAGGATTATGAGCCTACCCACTCAGGGATTTCCTGTTGCCTTTGGTAGCAACTGGAATTAAGAGTGTTTCTGGCTGTAACATATGGAAATACCAGAATATAAAATAAAATAATTTTTTTAATATTTTAGGTTATTTTATAAATTATAACCAGTTTTTCTGTTCTCGGGCAAAAATCGGCAGTTTTATTGTCAGGTGAACTAGCCTTTACTTTGGCGGTACATAGAGGCAGGTTTCTGCTCTTATCTGTACTTCATGATCAAATACTTCATGATATTAAACCTAATTTTTCTCCAGGTACACACCCCATATATTTTTGCCCTTTGCTTCACAAAGGTAGCTTCTTCTACTTCTCAAGTCTTTGATTCATGCCATAGTGTGACATGTTTGATTTGAATTTGATTTTGTTTACCTCTGCATTTACTTTTTTGATCAATGAAATTTAAATCTTGTTTCCCACGATTGGGTACATCTATGTGAAATCAGACTTCGACCTGTTTAACAAGGTTTAACCTCTTTTTTTTTAAATCTCTGTTTTCCAAAACACAGGAAAAGTGACCTAACTTAGAGGAAGGCTAATCGTTTCCCCAAAGGCTCCATGAGTAATTGTGATTGAGAGCCAGAACTTTGACTGAGCCACGATATTCCAGACATTTATCTGACAACAATTTTTTTTTTATTGCAACTTATTATTAAAATGTGATTTACAGTACAGGTAACTTAAGTTTTTTCTATTTTAAAAAGAAATAAGAAAATGTAGAAGTTGTTATATTCTTGATTCCAGGTGTAGTTCTTAAGAGCCTGTTTTCCACTGAGCCTCTTTATCTTTGACTTCTGTAAAGAAATACTAAAGTAAAGTCTAGTACAATATTAAATTGTAGTATTAATATAATGTGGTAAAATCTCCACAGAGGTCTTTTCTAAGTGTTCTGTATGTCTGCAGCTATATGAGGTGACGCTACTTTACAGAGCATACATCTGTATGAAGAAACAAAAATCTGCCCTGCTGTATACAGTATGCTGGCCTGATGCCGAATCACGGATTCATACATCTGTTTGAAGAAACAAAAATCTGCCCTGCTGTATACAGACCCTGAAACACTCCATGTTGGCTACATAGAAGAAGCTGATTAGTTAATACCCACCCTTTCCTGTTGAGCTGTTGTCTTGGCTTGCTTGCTTCTCCACTTTGGCTTTTAAGCCATGGAGCAGTAGTCTAGGGACGGGTACAGGCAAGACACCCAGCTGCACCAGGATCGGCTGGGCACAGTTTCCAGAGTCATGTTTCCCCCCCTTAGGCACTGTCAGAGAAACAAGAGCAGGCTGAAGAAAAAAGGAAAGAGGACTGAAATGGCTTGTTCAAGAGCAGACAGATCCCCTCCTCACAGTGCTGCCCCCTCCCCTTTGAAAGCAGAACTTACAAGCAGGGGTGAGTTTGAGGCCCCAGCTAGTTCTAATCGTCCCCTGAAGCAATGGCAGGGGTTTGTCTCTTTCCTGTTTAGGCTAGCTGTGTGGTTATCTCTGAAACACCGCAGTTTCTGGAGCTCAATCTCATATGAACCATTCTGAGGATCTCTTAGTTTTAATCTGTTTCCTTCCTTTTTTTCGTTTGAGAATGAAGATAATGGTGGGGGGCTATTGATAAACTGGAAGATGTATCTGCTTGGTGTTACATCTTCCCTCTTCTCAAGGTCCCTGTCATTAGGGATGACCATAAGTAGTGTGTGTCTGTGTGTGTGTGTTAAGATGTGTAGAGGCCTTGAGGAGGTGCAGAACCAGAACAGAATGATTTGTTCTTTTCGGGTCGTTCATTGACCTCCTTTAGCCTGCCTTCATGTCATTTTTCAGTGGCTGGGAGTGTTCTTTCTCATTGCTGTTTTTTTTTTTATTGCACTCAAGGCAACTTTTAAAGTCCCAATCTTTCTGTTTACAGAATTGGTCACTTAGTTCATGTTCTGAACTCATGGTAGCAGGAAAAATGTCTTTGTTTTTGTGTCTTTGGTAGAAAATTGGTTTTAGTCTTTGAGTGGTTGAACCCTGGCTACACTCTTTTATAAGTAGGTCAGATTTAATTTGGGAATTTGCTGTTATGCAACCTATGTCTCATTGGTTAAATGTAATTATTCTCTTCATGTTTTAGTTTTTCTAACACATGACATATTATTAGGGTTTCCCTTTATATCCATTGCTGACAGATAATTGGGAAGTTGGCCAGGATAATGATTTAACCAAAGTGTAAAAAAGCCACTTTGAGACGACTCGTTCCTGGTCTGCTGTGACTTTGGTTTTTGGTCTCATTACATCTAATCAAGCAAAGTAACCTTTTTTCATTGCATCTGTCATTGTACACAAGAGACCAGCAAAAGAATCCATGAGGAGGTGTTGGGTGACTTTTTGGCTACGTTTACACAGTAGCCTGAAATGACCCAAATCGGATTTTTTATTTTTTTTTTGGCCCATATGCGACCTGTATCTGATCTTTTTATGGCTGTCTGAACAACACATTTTAGATTTTTTTCCAACTCGACCCAGGCCATTTGGCTATGTGGTCCTGAATCCGATACGAATCTGATCTTTTCAAATGCGATCTGTGTCTAAACAGCCAGGTCGCATTCATCTGACCTGAACGCCATTAATACACGACAAATGTCACTATTCTGGGTCTTGCTATAAAGAAGCAGCAAGAAAAACAACAACCATGGCGGACGATGATGCAGAGAGCAGTATATATGTTTAACCATATTGAAAAGATTGAGTTTTTATGGTTGGGAATGATCACTGAATGATGCGCTCCAGCACTACCATCCATGTTTACTTCCGTAAACACAGAGCACACTGGCCTGTGAAGTCATTGCGTCGTCTACTGCGCATGCGGGACACTTGCGTTGTATGACTGTAGTTAACACAGTAGATCACATACAAGTCACATATATTTGGAAATGTGAACGGCAACGCAAAAAAATCAGATTTCACAAAAAAGTCAGAATTAAGCATGAAGACTTGCAGTGTGAACGTAGCCTTTGATGCTCACAACACGTTCAGTATGAGCGCAGCCTTATGCTTCCATTGTGTCAAAAGGCAGTCTTCATAGGGCAGGCGTCCTGCAGCTTTGAAATGTTTTCTTTTAAACACCTGAATCAAATAATTATGTCATTAGCAGGACCAGGGGAGCTTGGCTTAATCCGAATTGAGCAAATTATTAAGGACACTTCAGCCAAAGAGGAAGTGCATCAGCAGTCGTCATAAGTGCTGTCCTATTAGTGCTGGTAGTAAGTAGGTAGGAAGAGGAAGTAAGATGCTTCCAGTTGATGGTTCATGTAGCATAGAAGCCTCCTAATATTCTCATCTGGTGCATAGGAGCTGTACAGTTTCCCTTCATCCTTTATTTATTTTTTCTTTTTGTGTGTAACCTTTTTTTATTCTTTTTCAGAGGGCTGTAGTTTGCATTTTTTTTTGGCTAAAGATCTTCCAGATTCAGCAGCACAGCAGTGCAGAGTTTCTTTCCTACCTAAGATGACTTTTTTTTTCTGTAGACCCTGTAAACTGCGAAGGAATGGGAGCTGCAATTTGCACTATTCAGATTAACTCAGCGGTAACATGGAAATTGCTCGCTCCGGGAGCCGCATTTGCGTTAGGTGTAAGCGTACCTTTGGTTGCAAGGATCTGCAAGAAATGTGACATGCAGTAGTGAGTTTTGTCCACAGAATTATACATTGGTTTGTGTATCTTAAAGGAGAACATTCATAAAAGGGCATTTCTTAAAAATGACACTTTCCTGTCGAGGGGAATTTGTGAAGTGCATGCACCCAGAGTTCCAGAAACATTCTGAGGCAATTTTGTTTACAGGTTGAGTGGGCCATTAGGTTCATTAAGAGCTAAAATGACAGAAACTAAAGAACACAGGTAAAAACCAAAGGAAGAAGGGGCTTCTTGACGGAAAATGTTTTTCATTTGACCAATTTCCACAGTTTGCTTATATTTAGTCTGGGAGAGTTGAAATGAATGAAGCCTTTTTCACAAATATTCTGTAAATGTGTTCAGACCCTTACAGAAAAAACCCACCAGAGTGAGAGATTGGGTCTTTACAGCTACCTCCCCACAGACATAAATGTTTATGTATCTGAAGGAGAGAGCGAGTGTTTGGTATTTTTAATACACTTGGATGTAACTTTGTGGTTATTTTTGTTGACCAAAGGAATATATTGCCGTTTTTTTTTTTTTTTTTTTATTGCTAAAGTTTTCTTAATAATTATGGAATGAATGTTAAAAGAAACCAAAAACCTTTGAATTCATCTTTTAGTTTGACGTCTTTCATTTTAAGAAATACTGAATACCTGAAGCAGTATACTGTTTTACTTTTGAATTTATGAAAAAGAGACTTTATTCTGAAGATATTGAAATTAATACAAACAATATAATAAATGCTATATTTAATAGTAATGAAATTTTGATAATGAAAACATAAGCATCCTATTAAGGGTTGATTACGAAAAATGATTCCCCAACAAATATTACAAAAAAGGAAAATGGTTGAAGGGATAAAAAAAACAATATTAACTACTACATATCACTATTTAAAAAATTGTATACTATAGTTTAGATTAAATATTAATTAAAAGAATTTAAAAAATGGACAAAAGTAAAGAAGAGTTAGAAGAATTGTATTCAAACCTACCTTTTTTATAGTGGATATTTAATCTTTAGTTTACTGGTTTTATGTATTACAATGGGAAAAAGAGGAACTTAAATGACTTCATGTTTTTCCCTTTTGCCTCAGTCCTTGTTAATGTATAGACAAAATCTAGATTTATGTACTGCTTTATTTTAGAAGTGAACCTACCAATCTGTCTGCTGTTTGTCTGCTGTGTCCACCCCCCCACTGACTCTGTGCCAGCTGTAAAGTGTACAGTGTGGCCTTGAACCCTGCCCTCTGCCAGCTTTCTGCCACGACTAGTCAAAGCCAGGGATTTAATGTTTTCCCCATTTGTGACCATGTCAGCATTTTCTCTTCAGGATTGCTGCATGGGGGCAGAGCAGATTATTTTTCCCGATTGTTGATCCCCTTTTTGACACATCAAACGTTGAAAGTTAACTCTACACCTCATGGACCAGGACACAGAAACGCAGTTTAATTCATTTACATCTGTTGAGCTTCTGAACTTTGATAAAGATTTTGGCATCTTTGGGTTTAAATTATGCAACACGCTCACATAAGACTAAATCCTTATATAGCCCAACCCCCCTCCACACGGTTTATTTTTCACCCCAGCACACAGCCCATCTGACCAAGCTAAACCAACAAATGTAAGTAACTGTCTAAGAAGCTGACATGGGTATCAGCAGAAAGGTTCCTGCTGTGAGTGATGTGCATGCGTGTAATCGGTCCAATCGGCGCATGATCTCTAATGAGCCTTTCTCTCCTGAGAGGCTTTGTGTGTAGGGTAGGGGGGTGCACACTGGTTTTATACATTATATGTGCATGTGGTGGTCCCTCAATGTAAGGACATATAATGGCAGATCACAGTGCGAGTGTCGGATTGTTTTGGTTCGTCTCTATGTGAACAAACCTCCCCTCCTCCCAGACACTCATGTTTCTCTGAGACTGTGCAGCTGAGCGCCCTGCTAGGCTCTGGCCCCTCCTTCCTCCACATCCTATTCTATTACCCTGGCTTTAGCTGCTCCATGTGCACCTTTGAGTGGATAGCACCGACACCTCATTTTCATTACCACTGTGGAGATTTACCACATTTTGGGGAAACTTTCAGCCTTTTTTTAATCCAGTTTTGCAGTTTTATATATATAAAAAAGACTCTTGATGACTCACTGGATAAGTAAATGGCCTGTATTTATATAGCGCCTTTTCAGGTTAGAAAAACTTGTCCAAAGCGCTTTATACTACATCCATCATTCAGCTAGTAACACACACACTGATGGTGGTAAGCTACATTGTAGCCACAGCTGCCCTGGGGCTCACTGACAGAAGCGACGGAAAGCTGGAGCCGGGGCTTGAACCATCAACCCTTCGATTTTAGGGCAAACTCCTTCACCCAACTCAGTGTAGCCAAACAAGTATATATGTACACTTGTGTGGCTAGTTTTGGATATTTTAATGAGAAAACAGTCAAAATCCTTGTCAGAAAAAACAAATGGTTGCTTTATTTTAAGTGCAGCTGAAAATGGTAATTTGAAGAAATTGTTTTTATTTGGGGCTAAATTACCTGTATAAGCATATAACAGGTTACAGCAATGCTGTCACCCGCATGTAACCTTAATCAAAATGTACCAGGCCGTATATACCGTATATTACCCTAATTTGCTTCCATAGTCTGGATTAGTTAAGCTATAATAACTTTATACCTTAATGAATTAAGGTATGATAAGTACCAGATATTTCTCCCCCATCATCTATAGTTAATTTAGATATAACACATTTTCATATTTTGATGTAGAACAAATGGTTTGTGTGGATTGTGGAAAAAGTAGTGAGTTGACTGATGTCAACTGAGAAGGATTATAAAGCTTCCTTTGACGTCACCGGTGTTTCTTCTCTCACCTTCAGGCTCGAATCAAGTTCCCGGTTGATTATCCGTACTCTCCACCTGCGTTCCGCTTCCTCACCAAAATGTGGCATCCCAACATCTATGAGGTAGTATCAACAGAACTTCCTGTTTATCGTTTGTAAGGGGTAGTTCAAATTCTTCCTTAAATTTGCTTTATTCCCAACAAATACAAAATAAATTTTTCTTTTCCAAGTATCTATTCTAGCAGCATCAGAGGAATGAGTGAAGAGTTTTTTTTTTTCTTCTGTCAGCTGCTTTTATGACCTGTACAAACCTAATTTCTGTTTAATTCTGGTATTTAGAATTTTATTTTTTTCCACATTAGAGGTTGAAGCAAGACGTTTAGATGCTTGAGATCATCATGAAATTAGAATAGGGGAATTGAGAGATATATAGTTTGTGAAGTTTTTAAGTCTTATAAAAAGATGCTCTACTCCCTGACTGAGCTGCAATGCATGATCACAGTTTAGTCCTTAATGCTTCAAATGAACTGAGTCATGACTACATACCTTCTGCTCAGAGGCTGCAGCCCCTCATATTGCACAGTAAATGTGTAAAATGACCAGGCTGGGAATCTGCAGTGAAACTGGCTCTATGTCTGTTGAAATAAATGATAGAAAAGTCTGGTGTTTCCTGAAAACATTTTTTTAAACCGTATTTTCCTCTAATCAAGCTATGTTGCCGCTGTCTCTGCAGAACGGAGACGTCTGCATCTCTATCCTACATCCACCAGTGGACGACCCACAGAGTGGAGAGCTCCCTTCAGAGCGGTGGAACCCTACACAGAATGTCAGGTGATTATGACTGATGTAAAACCAACGTGTCAAACTGTTCCTGCATTCAGCAGAAGCTGTTTTTGTTTTGGGTTTAATATTTTGGCAGATTATTTGACAATATAAACTGTTTATTTTCCTGTTATGTAACCTATTTTTAAAACGTATGAAAAGAAGTGCTGAGGCCTGAACATCTTGGTTGAACAGGGCTGATCAGACCTGAATGAAGAAAGAGTTTTTATCAACTATTTAATATATTATCTTGTGAGGAAATTGTGAAGCCTTTTGTGTAAACCAAAGAAAGGAAGTTAAAATCCTCCAATTTTGCTCTTGAGAGCTGCAAAAATTCTGATCAAATAAATATAAATTTCAAATAAACATCTCCCTAAACTTAGCATGTTTTACTTGTTCATTAATCGGCGTGCAGATATGGTGTTTCCACCGAGGTCACATCTGACTGGTAGTTAGCTAAACAGTAGCAGATTAAAGCATGGATTCACTCATTTTAGTTGTGATTTGAAAATAATTTCCTTCTGCCTGGTTGAAAAGTAGGGGAAAATATTTACAATATGCCAGACAGGGTCTGGAAGGTGTCGATGTGAGAAGAGCGATTACCATCTCTAACCAGAGGCTTTAGGAGCTTAGCTGAGATGTTGTTCTCCTCTTTTGTTCCTGTTCATTTCTTTAGTCCTGCTAGGAGTCTCACCTTACCATACCTCGCCTCCGGCCTCTCTGCCCTATTCTTTAGTCTTCTGCTCATTCTGCATTACTTCCTCCTATTCTATTTTGACCCTCCTTTTCTTGTGTTCCAGGACCATCCTGCTCAGCGTTATCTCTCTGCTAAACGAACCAAACACATTTTCCCCGGCCAACGTGGACGCATCAGTAATGTACCGCAAGTGGAGGGACAGCAAAGGAAAGGACAGAGAATACATCGAGATCATAAGGTATCTACAGAGGGTACCATCCTTAATCAGGAAGCCTGCCTGAGATTTGGTGATTTAGAGCTTCTTCTTTTTTTTCCTTTAAAAGGAAACAGGTGCTGTCTACAAAAGCTGACGCAGAGCGAGACGGCGTCAAAGTTCCCACCACGTTGGACGAATACTGCGTCCGCACACAAGTTCCTCCCACAGACGACGGCTCCAACCTCCTCTATGACGACTACTACGATGACGAGGAGCTGGATGAAGATGAGGAGGAGGACGAGGAAGACTGTTGCTATGACGAGGATGACTCTGGCACCGAGGACTCCTGACCGTGCCACGCTGTGACATCACCCCCCCTCCCTCCCCTGACCAAATCTTGTTCTCACCCACTCGCATTCAAAGTCTCCCTATTGTGTCACAGACTGAACTTTGACCCCTCCCTCCTCCTGCTAAAGGACACTCTTGGCACAGTCTGTCCAGCGTCTGTTACGTGCAATCACACTAAAGCCTGGGTCATTGAAAACACAGCAGCTGAATTGCTTTTGGTCTTTTCCTGTTTTTTTGTTTTTTTTTTGTTCTCCGAGTATAGGTTACACACGATCCACACAGAAACTGCACTGATGCGTGTCAAAATGTCCAAATAAAGGTCTTTGAAGCCCTAAGACCTATTTCCTCCACAGATGTCAAGGGAAATGAAGCTTTCTCATGGCTGTTTCTCTCTTTTGCAACAGATCAGCTCACTGTAAAACAGGAACGCCTCATCAAAGCAAGACCACTTAAACACATAGGCAAACTTTTCTGTGTGACCTTCAGTTGGCAGAAGGTTCACCTGACACACCGTCACCCACGACTTTCAGAGCCACAGGGCTTGGGCTGTGCAGAACAGGAAAATTATCAATTTCTGAAAGCTACTCGCACTTCCTTGTGCCTTCCTTTAATCCCAGATCTAAGTGATCAGCCCAAGCAAGCCTCTATCAGAAGAGTGATATTCAAGCTCTGACGCTAGAGTTAAAACTTCTGCTGGATAACCTCTCTGCTTATTTATAGAAGCACCTGTTAAATTTATCCAGGGTGTAAGGTAAGATCCAACAGCTGAACTCACCAGTCAAATGTAGATCATGCAACCAGTGTGCTGTTTCAAATCGAAGGGAATCTATGCAGTCAGAGCTTGAGTTTCTGTTACTTGCAGTGCTTTAAATATGGCAGTAAAGCAGCAGTTAGACCAAACTCCAGCTAGAGAGGAGCTGAGGGGGTATTTAGAGGGGCTCTTTCAGCTGGATCCGTCTTTTTGTCCGTATTGGTTAGTCATTCCCACTCAGAGATGTACACATCATGGTGTTGCACTGCAGCCTTTTGCTGTGCTTGCCTCCTACTGGTGGCTGTGTGCAATGCAGCATCATTATTACGTTGTCTTGTTTTTCTTATCCTAACATGCTGCACTGGATTGCAGCCATCTTGACTCACCTGAATCAATGAGCTCAGTTGCTTTGAGCAGAGATCTAGTAGCCGTGTGAGGGGAATTAGAAGGAAATAATGGTGGGTTGAATATCCAGACTGATAGGTTTACTTTCCGTCTCCTTTACAACAACGAGGACTGGACAACGTACACTTAACCACCACTGACCCCAGCAGTGTTTCCAGTGAAAATCTCAACTTTAACTTTCCGCTTTGTGAATAGCCGCTGATGGTTTTAAAGATGTGCTGAAAAATGTGACAAGGAAGTTCAGAATGGGATTTTATCCCAGCATGGGCAGAACACTGTGGTTCTTCACTAGCATGCTGATAGGTGTTTGGTTTTAGACATGTTGTAACGCTTGGGAATGTGTGCAAAGGTAAAAAGGTCCTCAAATTTGATTTCATCAAAGTCATATTATGAATGGGGTGGAGGTTGATTTGCTTTGTTTTTCCATAATCTTTGATATGAGCTGCAAAGATTTCCGAAGTGTTTGATTTTTGACTTGATATTTGTTTTTATAACCCAAGTTTTTTGCAGGCAGTATGAAGCAGTAAATGTTGAAGCAAAAACCCAATTATGTAAAAACCAAAATGTTGTCTCAATCCAACCAGACAGAGCACACATATTTTAAGAACCTTTAAGCTATCTATACTGGATCATTGAGTCCTGTTTTATGATTTCTAATGGTCCCCAGCCCTACATCATATTGTCTTTGGATAATGGGGTTTATTTTGTTTTTATTTGTTGGACTACTGTTAATTTTTTATGTTGACTTTCCTTCCCCACTTGCCCCTCCCCCCCTTGAGTTTTCTGATCTCTGATTGGTTAAAACACCAATAAGGGAAAACCCAGCAGTTGAGATAAAAAAAAAAAAAAAACAACTCAGGAAAACATCCACCACCTAATAAATTGTATTCCAATTGAGTGAACCTGACCGGTGGGGGTGGGGGGAGCGTAACTTTTTGGCTTCAAAGGACTGTTTACAATCTCTACCTTGATATGCACATGTGGATAGTTTGACGATCACTTGTTTTGTTTTCTTGTTTATATTTTCTGTTTCTTATGGTTTGTAAATCTATTTAAATTCTGAAATAAAGTTCTTTATTAGATACGGATTTTTTATGTATTTTTTTTTATTATTTTGGTCTTTTTATCTATAGTCCATTTTAAATCTCACTTTTATTCTTTATTCTGTTATTTTTCTGCAGGTGCTGAACAGGATGAGTATATCAAATCAGGACTTGCCTCTAAAATGTAAGAACTGGATCTTTTCTTGTTTTGCTTCACAGGTTGTGTCTGAAGTTTACATTTAAACATGTTTGCCTGTAAAATGGCCATACCAAGAGTTCAAATGGATTACTATGTTCTCAGAATGCTATTTTTGGTAAGATTTGCTGAAGTTAATTTAAATTGGTTGATGCTGATGGGGAGTCACGTTATCTTTAGTCCAAAGTATTAAGGTTGACTCGTCTCTTAAACGTCCTGTTTGCATGCTCTGGCCATTCTAAAACCAGTTGATGTCAAAAGTCTTAATGCTCTGAGTGTCCTGTTGTATTCAGGTTTGAAATGTTCAGTGAAACTGGCTCTCTACTAACAGTAAAAAAGCTTAAGCTTGAAGCCTCTACAGGGTTTCCGCGGCTCATTAAAAAATCATTAAATGTCATTAAATAATTTTTTTAATTAAGGCCTTAGTTGGCATTAAAATGCATTAAATGTGTTTCTTGTGGCATTTTAAATGCTTTCTTAAAAAAAACAAAACATTTTTATCACGGTATATTTGCGTGGAACTGCTTCCGGTTGATCGCAAAGACGTATGTTCGGAAAAGAAGCTTGAGCTTGAAAAAGCTAGAGAATGGGAAAGATTGCCAATTTCAACAAAAGTGGTTTGAAAAGGAGGAATTTGGGGCATGGCTGCAGCCTGTCGACAAGTACATTAGAATTATTTATAAGAGCATTAAAAGAGCATTAAAAAGCATTATATTAGAGTTATTAATTCCTGTATAAACCCTGCTCTAACCTTTTTCAGTCCAGTAGCCTTTTTTCTCCCTTTTACCACTGAAGGAAATTTTCCAAGCAGACATTTATAGTTACTTTATTTTTTTGGTTGTACTCTTAATACCTTGTTTTATAGGTTAAAACAAAGGGAATTCTGAAATGTTTATGATGTGAAGAACACTTCCACCTTTGAGTGGGAAAAAAAGGCCAGTTTAGTTTATGCTTTCAGGAAAGATTAAAGAAAAAACATCTCCAGAAACCTAATTGATAATATTCTCTAGTTTTCAAACAAACTGCTCAATATGGTAGCTTTAAATTATCGGACCTTTTTAAAAAGACATTTGTGACTAGAGAAACAGGTTAAAGACGCACTGTTAGGTTGAATGAACATAAAACTATCTAACTAAAGCATGTTTTAAATCTTTATTGAGCAGCTGCTGACCAAGATGAGCCTTTCCTCTACAATAAGCAGCTTTTAACTAGAATGAAATTTGCTGCTGCCCACATGTATAATCAAAATACTGTCTGAGGAAATGTTCTATTGTTAGAGAAGGCAAAGGTTGACCAACTGGGTCACCGTGAATGGACGAATGTTTACTGGCTTCTAGGTGAGGCTTTTAAAGCTAAGAACAGCATAACAGTTGCTGTGATTGGTGGTGGTAGCATTATGCAGGCTGGTATCCATGATGGCTGTTGTAGATGTACGGAGGCTTCACTCCTCGACGTGGCCGTCCCAGGTTTGAATCCCAGCCTGGTGACCTTTGCCTCATATCTTCCCTCTCTGCCCTTTTCCTGTGTGTAGGGCAGCTTACAGCTCTGCAGGCCCCTCACCAACCGACTGGACACCAACAGACCTCCAGAGCCTCATTTCAGATACCTGATCTAAGTAGAGAGCAGTTATACTGAGCTCTCTGATTTTCAGGATTTCTAGTTTCAGGTGATGTCAATAATATAACTGAGTTAAGTCAGCTCAGATTTCTAGGTAAGTCCAAGCTGATAAATGGCCCTCATTCATAAAATGCAGAAAATGTGATCCACAACAGCAATAGAGGGAAATGAGAAGCCTCTCACTGCACGTTTATCGCCAGTGAAACTTAGAATATTAATCACTAAATATGGAGAATATCAAAGAGGAAAAGGGATACTGTCGATCTGCAAAATGAGAAGGTTTAGAGTGACAGAGACCAACTAATGCATGAGAAAGAACTAAAGTTAGATCCCCAACTCATATCATAAAAAAAAATCTGTGGTACCACATTAGGATAAGATTTAAATAAGATTATAAGATTTAAATCTGATATAGGTCTAGTCATCAGCCATAACGTTTAACCTTTAATAACTAATTTAGACAGTGTTTTGGATTTATTTGAAAAATATAATTAATATTATGTAGGAAGTTAAGCCTTTTTGAAACATAGTTAAAATGAATAACTAAATCTCCCTGTTAGATGGATGTAAAATCTGTATATTAAAGGGAATGCATTTGATCTAAAAGGAACACCTTAAAAACATTAAATAAAACATAAAGTCCTTTTATTTAGTGAAGGAGCAGTAAATGTGATTGACATCCAAGTTCCCAATCATAACCAAAGAATATCTGAAAAGATGTGATACCTGCTAAATTATTGCCTTTAGTGATGAATGCAGTTCTTTGAAAAACATGGGTGACTCTATACAGATGCACCCATGCTGTAGAACAGGTCCTAACTCCTGTACTGGAAACATTTCACTAAATCAGATCATTTGAAGGTCTGTGCTGACACAAAAGAATAAACGATTATTCTCTTTGACCAATTAGTTTCTTGACTTTTAGATTTACTTCAACACTGATATTAAAATGTATGTATTGAATAGGATCACATTTTTTTCTGTTATGTTTGCAGCCTGGAGCTGCAAGAGGCTGTTTGGCTTACTGATTATATTAAACTAGTAACTATTACCCTGTTTTATTTGTTCTGGCCCTCCTGGTATATTTGGGCTAAAGTTAACAATGTCTGTCTGCTGAGTGCATGTGAAACTAAATTCAACACAAGGATGGCAAGAAATCTGATCCTGTGGCGACGATAATGGATTACTGCGAAATTCAATTTGAATCAACAGCGATTGAAATTTCGCACCACGCTGACCAAATAGAAACATCTTGGGCGAAACATCAAATACTGACTGTAAAAATATCAAATAGTTGTATTAACAAATTGTCAAGTTTCCATGGTGTTTCTCGCGTAAAAAATTGCAACTGCATACAAGTCTTTTCTTGTGTAGTGCGTAAACATATGGAAATGTAAAATAAATCTGAGAACTACAAGTAAATAAAATACAAATAATATGAATTGTGTGATTTCTTTTCCATTTCAAAAGCCAAAAATGGTTAATAGAACACATGAGGATGTATGGCCATGGTGAACATGCAGTATGTAAACTTCTCACCGGAACTGTGATGGTGTTAGAAGTGCATGATGAGACATGTACCCAGTAGTCACCCTGCTATACTGAGGGTGGTGGAGACTGTAAAAGGATTTTCTGATGCTTTTTGTGCTTTGAGTGTTAAAAAGGTTAATTGGTAGTAACTTCTCTAATTTTTGATTTTTTTTTTCTTTCTTTCCCTGCTCCAGGAAATGTTACTCACAGGGAAAACAAAGGTAACCCTCCGGTCTCCTCAACACTGATCGCTTATATGGATCGTTATTTAGATTTTCATTTTTTATTATTTTTTTAACATATTATAAACACTATATTACATTAGAAATCGACATTGTAATTGGCATTATCACATTGAAGAGTAAAGTGTGGGTTCAAAGTGTTCCATATGTTTCCTGTAATATTTAGATATTTTTTAATTAATTAAAATGTTCAAATACACTACAAAAAAATAATTACAAAAATCCTTTTTTTTATATTTAACAAAAAGGAAAAAGGGCTATCTGTAAATATAAATATTTTTTAATGTTTGCTATGAGAGGTTGTGATGTGAAGTTTTTATACAAGTTTTAGGTTAGATGACCTGATGGTTGTAAGAGGGAGAGGAAACATGGTTCTAATGCTGTTTTCTATAATCTAGATATATAGTTTCACAGATGTAGTAACTAATGTAATTTGTTACAAGGGAGATGTATTTTAAAATTTCCGACTGATGAAAGCCCTTAGTTTACATTGCACAGTCTGTGAAAATAAAGTTTATAGTACTGTGATATTCTGCCTCCATAGAGCAGATTCAGCTTCTTCTCCATTGCAACAACCCGTTTAAAACACATTTAAAGGTATAGTGTAGGATTTTCTTTTTCCAGATGGATCATGAAAATAAGTTTTTCTCCTCATTGTCAATCATTCTGGTGATATATTTACGTAAGGCCGTCCT